GAGAGAAACATCAATTGGTTGCCTCCTATATATACCCCGACGGAATTGAACCTGCAACCAGGATATATGCCCTGACCAGCAATCAAACCCTCGACCTTTTGGTGTATGGGATGACACTCCAGCCAACTGTGCCACACCAGCCAGGGAGTCATGTTAATATATATATTTAAAAATATATATTTTTATTGATTTCAGAGAGGAAGGGAGAATGGAGAGAGAGAGAAACATCAGTGATGAGAGAGTATCATTGATCGGCTGTTTCTTGCACGCCCCTTGCTGGGGATCAAGCCCACAACCCCGGGCATGTGCCCTGACCTGGAATTGAACCGGTTACCTATTGGTGCATGGGTCAGTGCACAACCATTGAGCCACATTGGCCGGGCTAGCAGGCGAATTTTTTTTTTAAAATATATTTTTTGTTGATTTTTTTACAGAGAGGAAGGGAGAGGGATAGAGAGTTAGAAATATCGATGAGAGAGAAACTGATCAGCTGCCTCCTGCACACTCCCCACTGGGGATGTGCCCACAACCAAAGTACATGCCCTTGACCGGAATTGAACCTGGGACCCTTGAATCGGCAGGCCGATGCTCTATCCACTGAGCCAAACCGGTCAGGGCAAAGCAGGCGAATTTTTAAGTTGATAATTTTGTATGGCTCTTGAATGATGTTAAAATATCCACATGGTCCTTGGCAGAAAAAAGTTTCCTCACTCATGTTTAGTGGAACCATTGCTTTTACACACACGTGTGTGTACACATATCCACACACACAGATCCTAAATTGTGTGCTAGGTAGTATAAAGGACGGTGTGGAGTAGGTGTGAGCTGTTGATAACAAAGTGGGCTCATTTGGGGTGGAGAAGGGGCCTACAGTGTTCTTGTTCTTGAAGGTCAACAGTAGGTTGAGGGTTTAAAATGACTTGAATACAGAAGAGCTAGTAAGTTCCCACTATATTATTAACCTTCCTTGGCTGGAAACTTCAGGATGTTTTTTTTAATCAATTTTCTTTTAAATTTTAGTCTTACAAACCTCTCCACCCTCTAAATTCATATGCTCTGTCATATTAACAGATGAATTATTCAGTCATTTCCTTTTCCCCCATATGCTTCATTTGTCGGCCATTTTTGAAAAGGTGCGTTCTAAATCCGGATGATGCAGCTCACCCCTTGGGGTGAACATAACTTACCTTCTTACTCTATTATTTGTACTAGGATCTCCAATCCACAGTGGGCCAGGATACCACTTATTAGCATGAAACCCAGGGTGGCAGAGGTTGAAGGGGACTTAAATGTGAATTAGTCTGGCCACCTGGTGCCTGGGAATTGCTCACTAATTGCCACGGGGGCTCTGAGTGAAATGGGAGGTCCTTTCTGGTGACAGACTCCGTCGAAGGTGGGCGCTAGTGTTCGATGGCAGCTTTACTAGCTGAGGAGCCCTCTGGGTTTGAACCATTTTTTGGAGTGTTCACTTTGTTGAAAATCTGAATGTTGTCTAGGTGTCAGATGTTAATGTATTTAGATAATTAACATTTAGATATTAATGAGTAAAAAAAAATTAGAGAAAGAAAATTTTTTTTTTTAACTTCAGGTCCTTACGTTATGGCCAGTGTGGCAACAAAAATTTTTCAAGAATTGGTGGAAGGTGTATTTTACATCCATAGCATGGGGGTTGTGCACAGAGACCTGAAGGTAAGTGGCAAAGATGAAATCATTGAAAACTTCTTATCGGGGCTGACTTGTGCTGATTCATTGAATGAAGGGGACTAGGTGCCCTAGTTCATTTATCTGGAAGAGTGCCATTACTTTCATGTCAATCATCATTTTTTGGGTCCAGAACATAAAAACTTGATTGAATTTAAAAGCAGTAAACTTTGGGCATTTGAATATTCACACTGTTTTTCCGGTAGTAAGTGTGTTCTGCGTGCTGCTATAATTGATGATGCTAAGTGTATTTAATGCTGACAAAAATATTCATCTATTCAATCTGAGAGGTAAAGTCTATTTTTATAATTATCTATCTTAAAGGAAATTTAACATAGAAAATTTCATTCTGTTTTCAAAATCTATAGTTACTATTCCAACATTTATCCACAAAACACTATCAAGAAAGAGAGAACATATATTTACTTCTTTGGCTGAGAGTTTTAAATTAAGTTGCTTACCTTTCAGGCAAAATTTAAAACATCAAAAATGCATTTAAAAGAATATCTAGAGACAAAAAGGTAATATGCAAATCATTTTATTTTTTGAAGAAGGTTAAGAACCAGTGGTTTGTACATTTGGGATGGATGAGGCAAATGGATTGTTTTCTGGGGACCAGTCCAGCCAGAAACCGCGATTGGAGTCTGAAATCCTGTGGCACCGTGACACTGAGGCCTTATTTCAAGAGGGAAGCCAGGTCATGACACCCGTACACAGAATTCCAGACCTTCTCCGGGAGGAGGCGCTGCACATGCTGCTTGTATCTCTCCCCGTAGACGTTCCTGATGTTTCTCTTACAGATGTCCTCTAGGGAGAAGGGTTTTTGCGACAACTTGATTAGGGATTCCCTTAAGAGTTGGAACTCGGATAGCATGAGTCCTGCAGGCAGAATTCCTTGGTTATTGGTCAGTCTCAAGGGGTAAGAGCGGTAAAGCAACTTGGCGAGCAGCGCCGTGTCCCTGATGTTGGAGCTGCGCTGGAGGTACATGTGTATGGGCGACTCCCCGTTTTTTGTGAGGGTGTTAATGTTGGCTTCGAATTCAAGCAAGAGATCGATGACTGTCTCTCTGCCGGCAAAACATGCCTCGTGGACGGCTGTTTGGCCCTTGTGGTCCTGGACATTGACTTCGGCTCCGTGAGTCAGCAGCAGCCGGATGCAGCTCAGCCCCGCTGCCAGCACTCGGCCCGCTTTGCTGGACGCGGCGCACACCGCCAGCTTCAGGGCCGTGTTCCCCGTGAAAGGGACGGCGTAGTTGACATTGGCTCCACAGGCAATGAGCGTTTCCATCATCTCCTTGTTCAGTATGTCTGCAGCCATGTGCAGGGGAGTCATGCTGGATTCATTAATGGCATTCACCTGGGCGCCGTTTTGGGCTAAAATGGAGAGGACCGGGTAGGTCCCGTATCTTATCGCCAGGTGGAGGGGGGAGTGCTTGTGGCTGTTGTCCACCCGAGCGTTCACTTGAGCTCCGTGCTCACACAGGATGCGGAGACACGTCACGGCGTTGTTCTGAATGTCCGCCAGGAGCCTTTGGATTCTGTTCCCTGGCTTTGTCTGGACGGTAGAGGTGATTGGCCAGTGCAGTAGCATCAGGTGAAGTGTGGTGAGGCCTCGTGTGTCCCTGGAATAGGTAGTGAGCGCTGGTTACACTGAATACATAGTGGAAATGGCTCTACGCGGGGAATTAGTGCTCAAGAAGGTGACATTTATTTAAAGTAATCCCTGCCCCGCCCTGACCGGTTTGGCTCAGTGGATAGAGCGTCGGCCTGTGGACTGTAGGGTCCCAGGTTCGATTCCAGTCAAGCGCATGTACCTTGGTTGCAGGCACGTCCCCAGTAGGGGGTGTGCAGGAGGCGGCTAATTGATGTTTCTCATCGATGTTTCTAACACTCTATCCCCCTCCCTTCCTCTCTGTAAAAAATCAATGAAATATATATTTTTAAAAATAATAAGTAAAGTAATCCCCGCCCTTACTTAGTTAAAAAAAGTGTTTGTCTCATTGCTGTTTAATTTTTCAGGCTATCACAGCGTTTTGGGGGGCGGGGGGGATGCATCAGTGCACGGGCCCCAGCTTCCTCTGGCAGCTTGTTTTTACTTTGTTCCTCCCGCAAGGGCTGGGGCCTCCTCAGGGCTGTCTCAGTGCGGAGCTGAGTTCTGTGGACTTGAGTGCGATCGGCTCTGCCTCTGTCCCTGTGCCTGATGCCCCCTGTGTGTGCAGGTGGATTAGATCAGCGGTCGCCAACCTTTCGGACCTCACAGACCACCAGTGGTTCTCGGACCACTGGTTGGCGACCGCTGGATTGGATGACAGGGTTGAATCTGGAGACCCACAGCCACTCTGCACGGAGGCCCATCCGTCTTCATTCCCTGCTTCCACCGGGTGGATGCGTGTTTTACAACCTGGCCCTCATCTGCTTTTTCCTGACATCTCTCAGGATTGCCTCCAAAAGCCCTTTGTTGTGGCAGAGAAAGGGGGAAGGGGTATTCGGAACTACTGCTGAGCGCTTCGTACTCGGGCTGCTTTAAGTGGGCTGACTGATTTGTGTTCTTGCATCCCCCCTCCCCCCTTATCAGAGTATCTCCTCTAATTAGCAAAGAAATTGGTTCAAAACAAGATAATTTCTAGGCCACAACTCCTGCAGAGCGGATGAGCCCAGACATGACTGGGAAAGCTAACGTCTAGGTCACGTGTCTCCTCATTTAGAAATGGCCACCTGTTGAGTTACTTACCTTACTTCCGGGTCAGCACCGTGTTCTAACAAGCAGTGCAAGCTCTGAGCCTTGCGGTGCTCGGCAGCCAGGTGGATGGGGATGATGGACTGCGTCTGCTTCAGGGGGAAAAATCCAAGTCCGTTACAAGTGTCCTGTGTGGTTAGAACAGGGCGTTAGCTTGCCAGTCCAGAGCATGCCAGTGGTCTGTGTGTCTCAGTGCAGCACTTCTCTGCTACGTGCACTGACATTTTCCTTTCCTTTGGCCTGTTTTCCGTGACCCAGAGCCAGTGAATTTTATGAATGTTATAAAGTCTGTGTGTTAAAGGAAGGCAGATTTACCAAGGCAACAAAATAACTCGCTCAGAGCTTTTAAAGTTGGTTGTTGCGAGGAGCTCATAGTGTAAAATTAATGACAATTGCGATTAAGCCACTTCGTCCTTAAACTAACCCGCAAGGTGATTGACAAGTAGGTTGTGTTTTTTTTAAGGTTTTGCAATAGTATCAGCAGTAAAACCTACACTTCCAGGGTTTCAGCGATAAGCAGCAAATACTCTGTGATTAGCAGAGGGGTTTATGCTGGGTCTTAAAAATATATATGTAAGTAGTGGTTTTACAGCATGGCTGCAAGGTAGGAGGGCGGAATAAAGGAGAGGGTCACTTTTCAAAGGAAATAAATGTTAACGGTAATAATTATTGTATAAACATTTAGAAAATGAAAAGTTATATGTAAAAGGGAAAAGAGAATTCCATCCCACGGACCCAGTGACCACTGGCATGTTTGAGAGGCGACGCTAATGTCCCTCCAACCGAACGAGCGCTAGTCTTTTCCCTCATCAGTGTGGTAACTGGAAGGGCGGTGTGGGCTGCTGGCGGAAGTGGCTGGCACACGCTGTCCAGCCACGGCCTGGTGGGGACCGACAGCCAGGAGGTTGAGTGAGTTCACAAGGACTTGATGGGGGTCCTTTCAAAGCATCACGAGTCTTTTCTCTAAAAGTGACGGAGCAGAGAGGAGGGTACCTGCGTCAGAAGTAACCCGCAGCTGGTGGAGTTGGCCAGGACTGTCAGGGGCTGGTTGACGGGGTGGCTGTGCAGCAGGGCCTGGATGGCGGCGCAGTCTTCCGTCATTATGGCTTCGTAGAGTCTGGCGTGGACCACTTCACGTGGGCCCTCCTCCAGGGACTGGGCCCCGTCGGCGACCAGCTCCCTGCTGCCTCTCTTGACTATGTTTCCCATGAGAAACACGTGAGATTGAGGACTTCAGAGGTCAGGGAAACTTGTTGCGGAATTGGTCAGTTTCCGAGTCTTTATGATTCCTCAGTTCAGTTCTAGAACTGTCCTAGAATTGTTGAGAGCCGTATCCATGAACACAACTCATTTCTGTATCAGAGCCAGACTTTTCAGACTTTGTTCCTGTCTCACATGATGTCACATATAAGCACAGGTTTTAGGACTTCCTACTTGATCACAAAAACATACCCAAACTATCTTACGTGTAAGGTTCTACTTTCTCTTTCCATTTAGCTATAGATAAAAAAATTAACAAAGCTAAAGCACGATTCTACATTAAAATAAGAAATTAGAATTACTACATTTAAAACAAGAAAACCCAACTTTTAACCTGTTTAGATGTCAGTGGCCTTCTCCCCTTCCCCAGTACAGGGCAGTGTTTCACTGGCATAGGATTAGTTCCACTGGGGATGTTTCGGGTCTGTGGTGGTCACTTACATAGAGCTAAGTGTGTACCTTTACAGTGTGACTTAGTCGTCCCCAATCCTGGCTAACAGAATTATCTGGGAGCTTAAAACATTTTAAAAAATATATATATTTTATTGATTTTTTACAGAGAGGAAAGGAGAGAGATAGAGAGTTAGAAACATCGATGAGAGAGAAACATCGATCAGCTGCCTCCTGCACATCCCCCACTGGGGAAGTGCCTGCAACCCAGGTACATGCCCTTGACCGGAATCGAACCCCGGACCTTTCAGTCCGCAGGCCGACACTCTATCCACTGAGCCAAACCGGTTTCGGCTTAAAACATTTTTTTATATATTTTTTTCATTAAGAAAAACTGCAGTGTTGGACTTGTTGGAGAGGACAGTCGTTTTTATATTTATTTTTAAAAATATTTTTAATTGATTTTTAAAGAGGAAAGAAGAGAGACAGAAACATCAATGAGAGAGAAACATCGATTGGCTGCCTCCTGCACGCCCCTACTGGGGATCGAGCTTGCAATCTAGGCATGTTCCCTGACCAGGAATCGAACCACTGACCTCTTGGTTCCTGGGTCGATCGATGCTCAACTGCTGAGCAACACCAGCCAGGTGCGATTTTTTTAAAACCTCCCCAGTGACTCTAATGTGTGGCTGAGTTTGAGAACCACTGCTCTGATTTTTAATTTTTGAGGGGCTACTTGCCCTTGGGTTGAAAACTCTTTAACATCCAGACATTTTTACTGTTTGTTTTTAGAATGCCAAGGAATTCACTTGTTCTGTTTGTTTGTAGCCCAGAAATATTTTTCTTCATGGCCCTGACCAGCAAGTGAAAATAGGAGACTTCGGCCTGGCCTGCACAGACATCATTCAGAACCCAGACTGGACCAGCAGGGGTGGGAAGAGTAAGTTTTGGCGTATTTTTCCATTAAAAAAATAAGATGTCACTATTTAAAGAGAATTATGAAGATTTAATAGCAGAGTGAGGGAAGGACAGCTTGCCATGGTACCAAGAGTCAGTGTTCCTGCATGTGCTAACGCTGCGGAATTTAATGTGTAGCTTTTCAAATTACAGGACCACCAACACATACTTCCAGAGTGGGCACCTGCCTGTACGCATCACCCGAACAGCTGGAAGGATCTGAATATGATGCCCAGGTAATGTTTCCTGCTTCTTACCTTCTGCTGGACTTACTCTGCAGTTGTAATAACAAAGAGCACAGCGAGAGCAGTGCAAGTCCCGAGGGCAAGGTGTTTGGAGGTAACAGTTCTGTAGTTTATCTACCGTCCAGCGGGCACAACAGGAAACTTCACTTTGCAGCTGAACCTGACTGCATTTTTTTAGGCTCCTTGACTATTTCTAAACCCATGGGCACAGCAAATAGTGTTTGAATGAGCTTTCCCTTCAGAGTGTCACATTCACCCAGAAGGCGAGAGTTCAGAGGCCTCTTTTCAGCTTCCATTCTTGTTTCCCAGCTCAAGTAAGTGCTAAATAATGCTCAGGGCAGCGTGTCCCTCCCGTCCCTTTAATCCACATTGTTCCCGGAAGGAATGGAAACTCCTTCTCTCAACATAAAAGCCTAATAAAGTTTATTCCTCTTAATGAATCGTTGAACATTTTTGTTTTGTTTTGTTAATCCGCACCCAAGGATTTTTCCATTGGTTTTTAGAGAGAGTGGAAGGGAGGAGTGGAGAGAGAGAGAAAACATTGGTGTGAGAGAGACACAGTGATTAGTTGCCTCTGGCACTCGAGCCCCTCCCTCTCCCCAGGGTGGGGAATGAACCCGCAACTCAGGTGCATGATTGGGAAAGAGCTGCCAGAAAAGAACCATGGTCGTTTAGGAAGCCTGTGTAGTCCAGGCCCTCCTAACAAACGTATTTTCAGAAGCAGCACAGTTTCTGCGGTGTGCTAAGCTTTGCCAAGACTTCCTGCCTGTGAGAGAAGCCGGGTGAGGTTGGCAGAGGCCCCCGGCACACGCCCCAGCACGAGGGGCTCACATCTGTGTCCGGCTGGCTGGGCCTGGGTTTTCAAGGAGGGTGGATGGAGTCAGGTGTGTGGTACAGACTCTGTGGTGATGGGATCATCCTGTCCTCACCTGGCCATCAGTCCTTTGTCCCCTGAGCCCCTTTTTGGTATTAAAGGGAGGGGCTTTGTGACAGTACTTGCCACCTCGCAGTAGATCTGGCTGGCAGGTAATGGCCAGTGAGAGATGAGCCAGCCATTACGTTAGAGACTATAAATCATCTTTTCTACAAATGCTCTCATGCTGGAGAGGACGGCGTCCTGACGGGGAACTGTCATGCTCACTGTGCATCTCATCACTCAGTGACCCTCCCTCCTTTCGCAGTCGGACATGTACAGCTTGGGCGTGATCCTGTTGGAGCTCTTCCAGCCGTTTGGAACAGAAATGGAGCGAGCACAGGTCCTAACGGGTCTGAGAACTGGTCAGATGCCCGAGTCCCTCAGTCAGAGGTGTCCTGTCCAAGCCAGGTGCATCCAGGAGCTAACCAGAAAGAACGCGTCCCAGAGGCCGTCGGCTATGCAGCTGCTGCAGAGCGACCTTTTCCAGAATCCCGGAAGCGTATGTACAGGTTTTTTAAAGCTGGGGAAAATAGGGAGCTAAGAATTCGTTTAAATTGAGTCCTATTTCATGAAGAACAATAGAGCTTACAGTAAGGTTTATGCAAACAGTATTTGAACCCATTCTCGAGAGTTCCCAGTCTAAGTGCACACGATGACCCCTGCCAGCTGCCTGCTCTAAAAATTGTAATTACAGGCTTCATCTCGCTAAGCCAAAAGATGCTAGTTTTCCTTTCCAGCTCCGGTGTGTAACCTTTCATAATGATTCTAACATGCCTGCCAGTAAAAAGGGACACAGCAGAGGGTAAAATTACAGCAGTCATTCTCAGCAGGTGAGCAGGGGTGCCGGAGACCGCCTGAGCCAGCCTGAGGTCTTCAGCATTCACGTGCGATTCTGGCGCTCCGTCCTGTGCGTGGCATTGCCCCGGGCAGCCCATTCCCTTCCTCCCACCTGACCCGTAGCATGCCAGCCCCTCATCTGCAAGTATGACTCATCCATTCTGGCAACATGACTCATCTACTCTGTTCCTTGAGAAACTTGCTGAGAGTTAAGAGCTTGATTCAAACCTCTGCTCACAGATCCTAGAGCACTTTGCTACTCCAAGTGCGGTCCTCAGACCTGCAGCAGCAGCATTATCTGGGGCTTATTGGGAACACAGGATCCTAGACTCCACCCAGATCTGCTGAGTCGGAATCTCCTTACGAAGACCGAGTGGTTTACATACACAGTTGCCTGAGCAGCTCTGCAGAGAGCAGTGGTTGTCTGTCTCCAGACCAGCAGCGTCAGGTCACTGGAACTTGACAGAATTCTCAGGCCCTCCCGCACACCTCATTGGGGGTGGGGGCAGCCATCTGTGCTTTAACAGGCCCTCGAAGTGATTCTGGTGCCCACTAATTTGGGAACCTCTTACAGTAACTGTTTAGTTCATTTATCTCCTACTCAAGGCTTATTAATTTTCAAGTAAAACTGAATCTTACTAGCTTGAATGATAAACAGGTAGATGGGGTACTTTTCTGAGACTTTGAAAATGGCAATGTGGTTATTAAATGACCTCAGATGGAAGGGATTTCTCACTCCCGGTTAAGGTAGCTTTTAGAGACCAAGTATTTGTGTTTATGGTAAGGATGTCTCCTGTCTTACAGAATTTTTTATAAAATAAAACCATGCAGAGGGGTCTTAATAATCCAGGGGGGAAGTTAGGATTATTCCATGACTTTAAGAATGTGTATCAAAGCATTGAAACTCTTACGGAAATGAAAAAACACCTGTAAAACTAATACTTAGTGCGATATAATTGAGAAAGTGTTTCAAGAGTAGTTTGAACAATGCCCGCCTCCCCTGTAACTCAGGGCGGTGAATTGTCATGCTCCTGGCTACGTTTGGATCAGCTTCCAGCACCTGGTCTTGGGCACTTTCGATGTGAAATGTCTTCTCGAGTTCACAGAATGTGAAGTGTTTGCTGGTGTCACACTCTGGGCAGCGCCATCATTTCCCTCCATTTGTTGACAAGTCCCTTTCCTTGGTTCGTGGCTGCCCACCCCGTCTAGTGGCAGCAGGGCCAGCATTCCCAGGTCAGCCGTTTCTCCTGTGACAGTGTTTTGGGTTGACTCGATTGCCACTTCCAGCAGTACCACTTTTCATTGGCTGCGGTCCTTGGCCAGTCCCCTTTCAGTTGTCCATTTTTGAAAAAAATGCCACTTGGGTTCTATCACTGGGACAGGGAGGCAGCCTGGCTACACACCTGGCCTGTGTGTGGACTAACAGATGCACTGACAGACTTTTAGTGAAAGGATGACTGTCCGGATCAGGACGTGTATCGGCTAGTGTTTTGTGGATAAACTTGTGGTAACTGACATTTGAACCACGTTGCTGGGTTACTGGCCTAATTTCACTCAACTGATGACTGGATCCATGCATTTTGGGACTGTGCAAGGTGAGGCATGCTTGTGTATTTAAAAGGAAAGAAGCCATTTTAATGGAGCTTAAACATTTCTATTTCAGGTCAATCTCACCCTGCAGATGAAGATAGTAGAGCAAGAAAAAGAAATAGAAGAACTAAAGAAGCAGTTACGCCTCCTTTCTCAAAACAAAGGGGTGAAGGATGACATGAAAGATGGGGGTGTTCCTGTCTAGCTTAGTCTCTAGAAATAGAAAAATGAACTTCAACTCTATAAGCTAAACCCAACTGGAATGTATAGTTTCAGTCTTAGGGTCTAGATGGTGAAATACTTGGTTTTAGTCAGGAAGCTTGTACATGATTTATTCAAGTGGGATTGCGGAAGTACCACCACCGACTTCCTTAAGTAGCCCTTTCCTGACCCAGCATCGGAACTCGACTGCTCTAAACACCTATTGTACTCTTTCCTGTCTTTTGTCCCACAAGCTCCTGTTCCTGATTTCTTAGTATTAGTGTCTGTCTGGTCTCTCAGACTAAAAATTTAGGCATCAACATCAGTTCTTTTTCTTTTGAACTCTGTCCCCCTCTAGACGCTTCTGCAGAAGTCTGAGTGTGCTGCACACCCAGTCACCACCCAGATCCAGCCTGCGCACGAGCTGGGCTTTTTTAAGCCTCTCACACGCTGCCAGTCAACCACCAGGACATCTCAGTTCACGCCAGGCTCAAAAGCCTTTGCTGCCTTCAGCTTGGCAGTGTATGTCACCCAGTCTATTTCTGTCCTCATCACCTTCAACTTGGCATCATGCCCTTTCAGAGCTCTGTACTTCGTGCCCTGAAATGATTTCAAAGCAGCTCGGAGGCCAGTGTTCCTAACTTTGCCCCTGCATTGTTCGTCACAGCACCGGACTCCGATGCTCCTCCAAGTCAGCAATATGACATGCTCATCTTTGCACTCAAAGGCGCCTGCCGCCTGGCTGGCAGGTGTTGTGGTGTACTGCATGTGATGCCGCTGAATTTTAAATAAAACAGACCCACAAGTTACATGGTGCTTTTATTGGTACTCCACAACTGGCCTAAAGACCGGTTTTACTACAAGTCCCTGTACCAACAACAGGCGTGAAACACCACCATTCTTACAACCTAAACCCTTTACAATCACTTCCCGAGTTCACTTAAGGAGCTTGAGGGCAGAGCTGAAAGGGGCCAGGTTCTCACAGGCCCGCATCCACTTCTGCACATTGGCTGGCACGGGCACGCTGCAGCCCCCCGCCTGCTGGAGCACGGACCAGAGCATCACGTCCGCCACGGTCAGTGCGTTCCCCACGAGCCAGGGGCTCTTCCCGAGAGCAGAGTTCATGGAGGCGAGCACAGCGGCTTTTTCTTTGCTGCTTCCTTCTTTTAACTGAAAAATGGCTATATCTACCCAGCTATCGATGAGGGTTAAGTTTACCGCATTATGCTTCTGGCCGAACAGAGAGAACAAAAAACGTGCGATGTTCCCTTCTCCTTCGATGGGGCACATCCTCTGGACACTGAACTTCATCTGGGTCTTGGGCACTGAAAGGAAAACACCCTGAATGTCAGCAGGAGCAGCACTTGTCCATGCGGGGAGGGGATCCACTCACCGTGAACTGGTGGCAAGGGAAGGTGTACTTTCAGGGAAAAAAGTCACATGTTTTAGGTGAAACATTAAAGTTTAAGCAATGTTTAAAGAGTGCAGACTATATGTTAGGCAAGTAATCACGTCTGGTACTTGACCCTGACAGTTTTCAAACTAGAAGGGACCTCAGACCATCTACTCCAGCCGTGTCTGGATTTGCAGGATGAGGACCAAACCAGGAGTCCCCTCACCCAGGTCAGAGACTTGAGGTCTCCCTGGGTGATTGGCATTACCTCACTTCACTCTGTATAAAGGTCACCAGAGGAGGCATTCTTTAGTGGGATAATGAGTAAGTGATACCCTCCTCCTTTTATGTCCATCTGAAAAGAAAACACTGTCCCCATAATGATAGGTTTTGGAATGTGAGGGCAAGGCGGCCATGACAGCTACTACCCTGCTCCGACTGGCTAGACAGGATCCCCCTAAAGCTGCATTCCTCTTCTAGGCCGCCTGACAGACGGCACGTGGCTGAAGGCCATCACTGTGCTAGCCCTCGCGGCCTTTTACTAAGGCCACGGCGCACATTCCAGCACACAGGATAGGGGTGGCACCCAGGCCCCTCCACTTACCGTTCTTCCAGATGAGGGTAAAGCCCAGCTGGTGCTCATGCCGGGGCGGGTTCTTGGTCTGCTCGCCAAAGCACCGGAGGAGGTTCACTGGCACGTTCCTGACCGCCGAATGCGTGTGAACGGCGGACAGGACCTTGTACTGGTCGCAGAGCAGCTGGTGCAGCACGAGCAGGGAGAGCGGAGGCGAGGCGGGGTTCGCGTTGATCACGATGTCTTTCAGGGCCCCGTAATCCTGGGGGGAACCAAACAGCAATCTGAGCGTGTACTGTACAGGTGCTGTTCCCACACCCCAATGCCCACGAAGAAGGTGCCGCCATCACCCCACCTCACAGCTGAAGTGAGTCCTGGGGCGATAACGTGACTCATCCAAGGTCACAGCTCAGGGAGGGGAGCTGGGCTCTGAGCTGATGCCAACCCCGAGCCCCTGCACTGCTGGCTCCTGACAAAAACTTCACTTTCACTGTCAAATTAGTAAAACATGTTAGGAATGGCACTTCTGTTTGTTCCCAAGTTAAAAAAATCACATGCAATTATAATCGGCCTTTCACATCTACGGGTTTCACACCTGCAGATTCAAACAACTGGGGAATAAAAACTATTTCTTTTGTTGTTAATCCTTTCCTGAGGATATTTTCCCATTGATTTTAGGGAGGGAGGGTGGGAGGAATATTGATGTGGGAGACACATATCGATTGGTTGCCTCCCTTGTGGGTCCTGACGAGGACTGGGGATCTAACCTGCAACCCAGGTACGAATGTGTCCTGGACCGGCAATCAAACCCTCAGCCTTTTGGTGCAGGGGCTAGTGCTCTAACTATTGACCCACACCGGCCAGGACTGAAAACTTCTTGATCCACGGTTGGGGATCTGCAGATTGTATGCATTGTCCCGTCATGTCATGGAAGGGACTTGAGCATGTACAGATTTTGGATCTGAGGGGACCCTGCATCCAGCTCCCCACAGGTTCGGAGGTAG